CAGACCTCCGCAGATTAGCGGCCCGACACGGCTCAGGAGGCGGGCAGCAGCCGGTGGCGGTGGTCATGGTGGCCGGGCCGGCTCCATTTTCGGCCTCCTCCCCCTCCTCCACCTCCCCCTCCACCTCCTCCCCCTCCTCCTCCCCCCCCGCGGGCCGGTGAGGTCTGCGGGACTCGCTGGTTCTGTCTGTTCGCCTCTCGGAGCTCGTCCTCCGCGGTTGTCCGGACCCTCTCGACTCGGAGTAAGTTAAGTTTCCAGTTTGTCTTTAAAGCCCAGAGTAAGTTAAGTTTCCCTGTTTCCCTGTTTCCTTTCACAGCCTAACAGCTGCTTTTTTATTTTGATGCGTCGCCTGGCAGATCCAGATGTTGAGGGGAGGGGGGGGTGAGGGTTAATCCAGCTGCTCTTTCAGTGGCTGCTAAGTGTTAGTTAATATTTCCCAGAAAGGTGAGAAACTAGAGCTAGAGATCATCGAGCTAGTCAGGTGTTAGCCTCTGGATGGGTGGAACTACTAAAAACAGCACTATTCATCCACCATTTCCTGTAAAATTGATGTCTTAGCCCTGATTTCTTTACTCTTTTAGCTTAATTGTTGTTGACATCTTACTTTTAATGTTTTTTCTCGGTTTTTCTGGTGGTCTGACACTGAACTGATGTCAGACCTCCTGTCACTGTGTCTGTTTCTTCTAGATATTTATTTATTATCACTGTTAGTGAGACTTTGCCATGATATATTTTCACAGAATGGACACAAAAGTGACCTCGACTCGCAGTCCTGTATATAAAATCGTGGGGCAAATGGAAATGTAGTCTTTAAGATGCAAGTTTAGAGGCCAGAGCCCTCTGAGACAAACTTTGTGTCCTTTATTTAGGTATTTTTCAGGAATTGGCTTCCTGAAGGACATCCCAAAGCTCAGGTTTGGATGTTCTTTTTCAGGAGACTAGTACGAACAGAAATGACTTTTTCAGGGACAAAAACGCATGACTCAGAAAGCCTGGAGACCTATAGTCAAGGCCCGCCTAAAAGAGCTAGTTATTCTGGCTCTTTGGAGGCAAAATGCATCCAAAACGAGGTTGTGGGTTGTTCAGCTCTGTCCTCGGACCTTAACTCATTGACTGCCAGCCATTTTCAGAACAGAGTCCCATACTGCCAGAGTTTTTTGAGCATTTTGACTGATTTTTCAAGAGCCACAGAATAGTTTGTGCTATGACTATGTAAACACCGAACACACCAAAAGAAAGAGTAGACTCTCTTCTTTCATCAGGAAAAAATCTTTTGTTTCTACCTTATTCCGTTCTTCCTGGACTTGCGTCTCACCGGCGACATGTTCTCTCATAGCGAACCGTTACCTTTTTCTTATTTGCCTACAGTCTATGCTCATCTCCCATCAAAAGTGGCACTGCCACCTAGAGGGTCAATTTGTTAATAAATACTCTGTCTAGAAGCCTGATATTTACGGACAAGCTTTAGCAGATCGTCCCCCAGCCACTCTCGTTGAAAAACATAAAAGACGTCTATAGACGTCTTTGGCAGCCAATGAGTTAAGAAAAGTTGTCCAGACCACCCTTAAATCCAGGCCTGTTTTAGCCCTTCTGACGTGACCTTTGACCCCCCCCCCTCTGTCAGGCATAAGGATGCACGGCCCCGGACCCTCTCAGGACCCCTCCCAGGCTCCAGGCGAGCGGGGCGAGCTGCTCCACTCCCTCTCCAAGGAGACCTCCGGCTCCCCGGAGGCCTCGGAGCTGGGGAGCCCCCGCTGCGTGCCGAACTTTGACCTCTTCAACATGGTGGTGTCCTACAAGAGGATGGCCCTGTTCCTGGAGCCCGTGGCGGACGGCGTGGAGCTCACGCGCCACCTGCTCGGGTACGTTGGGGGGAAGTCAGAGGGATTTATGGCTGCCATCTTTTATTTAGGGGCAGCACGGTGGTGTGGTGGTTAGCACTGTCGCCTCCCAGCAAGAGGGTTCGGGGTTCGAATCCCCGGGGGAACCAGGACCAGAGGGTTCTGGGTTAGAGTCCCGGGGGGAACCAGGACCAGAGGGTTCTGGGTTGGAGTCCCGGGGGAACCAGGACCTTTCTGGGTGGAGTCTGCATGTTCTCCTGTGTCTGTGGGTTCTCTCCGGGTTCTCCAGCTTCCTCCCACCGTCCAAAAACCTGCATGTTAGGTTGATTGGAGATTGGGGAAATTGCCCTTAGGAGTGAATATGAGTGTGAGTGGTTGTTGGTCCTTGTGTGTCTCTGTGTGTCCCTGTGATGGACTGGGGACCCTACAGGGTGACCCCGCCTCTCCCCATTGGCTACTGGGATAGGCTCCAGTTCCCGCCGCGACCCCATCAGGGAATGAGCGGTATTGATAATGGATGGATGGATGGATGGATCTTTTATTTATTCGTTTATTTGATAGGGACAAGTATGTTCCATGAAACATGTCACACACTACAACATTTTAGCTATAAGGCTAATTCTCAACGCCTGTCCCCAGTTAGGCCTTTACACAAAACACAGTGACTCTACACAACAGAACAAATCAGTTAGGCCTTTACACAAAACACAGTGACTCTACACAACAGAACAAATCACACACTAAAACATCACAGATACAAGATCAGGACAGTCAGATTATTTATGTCCAAATGTCTGACCTCTCCATAAAAAGTCTTTAAGTTTATGTTTAAAAAGGACCCAGTTTGACTCTCCCTTCAGTTCTGCAGGTAATGTATTCCATGTTTTGGTGCCTTGTACAGTGAAAGCTGATTGTCCGAAGGAAGTTTTGCGTCTGGGTACTTGACAGTTTCCACTGTGAGCTCCTCTTGTGACCGAACCAGTTAAAACCAGTTTTAACTGAGCAAATTTGACAAAGTTCTCAAAGTTTAGCATTTTTAAATAGTTCAGACCAACTTCTTCTCCATCCCTCAGGTGGAGGACGCCTCTGTGCTCGCTGCTGGTTTTTCTGGTCCTGAACGTCTTCTTCTGCACGGTGACTGAAGGTAGGAGCCGCCATTGGTCCGGTCCGGCCAGTTCCTAGGGATGGAACGGTTTATGAAAACCGTCCGAACCGTTCGGTTCGACCGTCTCGGTTCGATTCGCGTGTGTTGCTGATGCCAACATTTATTAAAAATTACATTTAATTTAAAATACAATTATTTATTTGTTAAATATTGTTGCATCGTCTTTCCACCAAATAACAGAAAAGTATCGATAGTGGTATCGATAAAGACTCGGATCGATAAGGAGTATCGCTAAAAGTATCGATATCAATAAATATTAACGATCCCCATCCCTAGAACCGTTCCACCTCTAGTCCGGCTGAATAACTCTGGGACCTGTTGCTTTTTTCTTCCGTCTGGGAACAGTGGGCTGGCTGGCGGTGGCGGTGGCGGGCGTGGCGGCGCCCGGCGCCCTGGGATACCTGCAGGACAGGTGCGGGGGCAGGGCCTCGGAGGCGGAGCTCCAGAGGAGGCGGCACCACGCCGTGCACCGCAGAGACCTGCAGACCGTCCACCTCACCAAGCAGGAGGCCATGCTGGAAGTCAAAGACCTGTAAGACAACAGCTCTGTAGATCATTCCTCTCTTGAGAATCTGGTTCTTAAAGAGGGCAAAATCAGGGGAAATTATGTTTCCTCAATAGGCTCTATGTGTTCTAATTTCTCTCCATTATCACCATCCATTCATCTATCCATCCATACATCCATCCATACATCCAAACATCCATCCATCCAAACATCCATCCATCCATTCATCTATCTATCCATCCATCCATCCATCCGTCCATCCATTACCCATACATACATACATCCATCCATCCATCCATCCATTCATCTATCCATCCATCCATCCATGCATCCATCCATTCATCTATCCATCCATTCATCCATCCATACATCCATGCATACATCCATCCATCCATCCATACATCCATCCATCCATCCATCCATCCATCCATCCATCCATCCATCCATCCATCCATCCATTATCATTACCAATTATTCCATGATGGGGGGGAACTGAAGACTATCCCAGTGGTCCATTATCTCATTTCTTTGGAAATCTCCGTGTTAGCAATTAGCTACAGTGGGGGAAATAAGTATTTGACCCCTTGCTGATTTTGCCGGTTTGCCCACTTACAAAGAATGCAACAATTTATAACTTTAATCATATGTACATTCTAACAGTGAAAGACAGAATCCCAAAGAAAATTCCAGAAAATCACATCATATTAATTTTTAAAAATTGATAACCATCTGATGAGGAAAAATAAGCATTCTTTGTAAGTGGGCAAACCTGCAAAATCAGCAAGGGGTCAAATACTTATTTCCCCCACTGTATCTTTTTTATCAAGTTGTTCTCTGTTGCATTCACTGTCATAACCTGTTTGAGCCCCAAAGCCCAAAGTGGGACAAAAGGCTCCGATCAGCCGGATGTCCCCCTCTTTTAGCTCCGAGTGTTTCTGCGTGAATTCAGACGGTTGTGGGGGCTTTTTCCTCCTCGTTTCTGAATCTCACAGAAAACTCTGAACATGTAAGATCTGTGGTGGTCAGATCTCTGACAGCTCCGGTTTGAGATCCCCACTCTGAGCTCTTTGAGGAGCTGAGCAGGCTCCAGGCCGACCGCAGATGCCTCCGGGACAGCGTGAAGGCATTAATGAAATGGGGAAATGGCCACAGCTGAGTGGGTCTGAGATGGAGATCCTGCTCCAACAGGAAGTTTCACCAGCGGATGGAGGCACGCCGAGTGGATTCAGGAGTCTCACAAAGCACTCGTGCAGTTTGTCGGCATTAAAATGCCTTCAGGAATCATAAAAGTGGAAGTGGAATACATCATTGGCATATAACGCCCTCACCTCTATCAGCCAATGCGAACATGAGTTTTAAAAGCATTTAGTGTGGATCGCTGGCTTTCCAAAGATCGTCATTTGTTGTTGTTTATTTGAGAAAACAAATGCTTTAACAAAGACGACATTACTGACTGACCCTTTTCTTTTTTTTTTCCTGTTTTGGCCTGACTGTAGTTTCGCGTCCAGCACTCTAAACTTGTCGCTGATTAAGTGATTAAGTTGCTCACCGGCTGAGTTTTGGCCTTTTTCCATTGGCTCCTGCTCTGCTCTTTCCAACACTTAGTGGGAGCCCACTCAGCGAGTACGCAGGCAGAGACAAAACGTGATGTTCTTCCTGACGTCCATTGTTCGATTGCTTATCAGAGATACTGAACTTCAGAATCAGAAAAACTTCAATAATCCCAGAGGGAAATTATTTAATGTTGAAGTGGATGTTTGAAGTTGCTCCACGTCCACAAATTGACACAAACGATCGAGATGGAACTATAAATATGTCTTGTTTACCTCAAATCTCATCTGATTTTAATGTATGCAGCCTTTCTGTGCATGGGGTTTGTTTATTTCCTGGTGGAAATGCAGCTTATGTGGATGTTTAAAGTGTGTGTGTGTGTGGTTTTGTCTGTTTGTCGTCTTCAGGTTGAAGCACCTGGACGACATGCTGGCCTCGGCCTGTCAGTCAGCAGAGGCTGTGTACAGGGTCTTATACTGGGACGATCACACCACCTCATCAAGGTCTGAATTCGCATTTGTTGGGGAAGAAAACTTTTTTACATTTAGGGTTTTTATGTGTGATGTTTGAATGTTTTTTTTTTGGGGTGTTCTGAGATAAACAGAGACAGTGAAACAGTTGCTTTTCATACGATACAAAGAAGAAACGAAATCAGTTATTTAGCATTTTGGGAAATGTTTATTAGATTTACACAGAAATGAATGTTTTTATTTCCCTTTGGGGGATCCTCCATGCCTTCCACAGGCCCTTATATATTCAGGTCAGGGTGAATACATAAAACACACCAAGTCAAAATGGAGCACACCCACTTTTTAAGAAGGAGAGCTGCCTACTTTTGTGCCCTTACACACCATTGTTGAGAAGACAGCAACAGACCACTTTCTCCACTTAACTGGACCCAAATTCTTACTGTAGCCCTAAAACTGTAACTCTAAACCCTCAGAAATAACTCATAAATAAGAGCGCACAGACCAGCTTCTCTTGAGTTGCCAAAAATAAAACAATTCAACATTGGCATAATGCTTTTATAAATCCCTAACCACCACAACCAAATACCTGGCCCAAAACCTAATTTTAACCCCAAGTAAGAAAAAGAATAGGGACCTCCGAAATCCACCGTTTGGGCCCAAATGAGCATAAACTTTATAGATATAAAAAAACATAACAGTCTGACCTGACAACTGAGTTTAAAGTGATGAAGGGAAGGCAAGTTTATCTGTACAGCACATTTCGTGTACAAGACAATTCAAAGTGTTTCACAGAGGATTTAAAAACAGGAACACAAGAAAAGAAAAATGATAAAGATTAGACAGATGAAAAGTGAAGGGTGCAGATAAAAATACATTCAGTTTCCACATGCACAGTTAAACAGAAGCGTTTTCAGCCTGGATTTAAACAGTCAGATGAATGAATGAATGAATAATTAAGGGAAAACTCTGTTCATTCACAGTGAATGGTTTAGCTGTGCTCTGGGCTCCGTTATTGGGGTTATTAGTAGAATCACAGCTGGAGTGGGGCCTGTTCCAGCCCCTGGTGGGAGGCTGATCTTCCCCTCTTTCTGCCCCCCCCCCCCCCAGGTTCTACGGGGCCCTGCTGACGGTGGCCTGTCTGCTGTACGTGGCTCCGGTGGGTCTGGTGCTGGCCGGGCTCAACACTGCCGTTTTCCTGTGGAACAAAGACTTCTGCAGAGGTCAGTCCAGTTAACGGCCATGCCCAACGGCAGCCTGGAGTAGGGACGTCCACATCCAGCTTTTTTTCACTTCCGATCCGATCCCGATCCCGGGCTGTCAAAGCATGTGTTAAAGTTTAAAGTTATTTATCTACTTACTTAGTCGTCAGACTCATGTTGAACAGGGATTTACTCTGATAACAACTTAACTCGTTGACGTCTTTTATGTTTTTCAACGCGAGTGGCTGGGGGACGATCTGCTAAAGCTTTTCTGAAAATATCGGCTTCTAGACAGAGTATGTAGTAACAAATTTACCCTCTAGGTGGCTGTGCCACTTTTGATGGGAGATGAGCATAGATTGTAGGCAAATAAAAAAATAACGCAATGGTTCGCTATGAGAGAACATGGCGCCGGTGAGACGCACGTCGAAGAAGAACGGAATAAGGTGGAAACAAATTTTTTTTCCTGATGAAAGAAGAGAGGCTACTCTTTCTTTTGGTGTGTTCGGTGTTTACATAGTCATAGCACAAACTATTCTGTGGCTCTTGAAAAATCAGTCAAAATGCTCAAAAAACTCTGGCAGTATGGGACTCTCTGTTCTGAAAATGGCTGCCAGTCAATGAGTTAATGGATAGGACACAGACCTGTGGGTCAGGAGATGCTAATGCTAATGCTAATGTGGGATCAGACTTAAAAAACAAACTGGATCTGGAGTCTGGATCTATATTTTCTCCTGTCGGCCGAATTGCAGTTTTTGGCAGATATGAGCAGCCGATCTGATGCAGATCTCGGATCGGGACCGTTCTGGTGTGCACTGATTCACTCTCTGTCCCTCTGTCCGGTTCTAGTGTTGCTGGACCTGAGGAGGCTGCTGTATTTGGGCCAGAGTCCGGCCTCGGAGGCAGCCGGGGAGGAGCAGGAGCCGGGCGGCCTCCTGGACCGGACCCCCACACCCACCAGTCTGGAGGTAAGAGGCAGAAACGGATTTACGTTCAGCCCCAACGGCGGCCGTAAGCTTCTTATCAAGTTCAGTCCATATGAACTCGGTGCTTTTCCCTTAATTCGCGGTGCCACTTTGATTTAATTCCCCATCAAATAGATGGACGGGGGTTCAGATTAGTCTGCCTGTACATAAGTATAGCAGATGTCCTCAGTTTAAGCTCACTTATGTTGGTGGTTCTGGTTTGGTCCATAGTCCAGTCCAGCTTTTTGTGAGCTTCTCTTTTTTCGTTTTTGATAACAGGACCTGTCTCCGGGCAGCGTAGAAGAAGCTGAGGAGGCGGAGCCAGACGATGAATTTAAGGACGCCATTGAGGTAAATTCAGGCCTAAGAGTTTCATCCATTACAAGCGACATTCCCCCTGATCCATAATCCTTTAGTCTGCCATTACCTGCCAAACGAACCCATCCAGGGCTGATTATTAGGAATCTATCTCCAGAGCCTTTAAGTGGCTCCTCCTGAACTCATCATTTCCTTTTAAGCTACTGTTATCTTTTCCAAAATGGTGCGATGATAATTACAGAAATATGTGGTTGGGTCGTAATGTGATTAATTAACTTAATTCCACGTGATCATTTCAAAAGTCAGTCGTTTTGTGTCTCAGTCCGAGAAAGTGAAGTCACTTCCTGTTTTGTGCATCTGCGTTTTTCCCTCTGCTGTCGTCCACCTCAGGAGAATTCAGTCTCCCTCCAGGTGAGTTTTTTTTATCTAGTGGAGGCTCTATTTCTCTGTGCTGCGGGACACAGGGGCCTCATAGAGCGGTTGTTTGGCCTTTTGATGTGAATAGACATCTGGAGTGTGAGTCTTTGTGTGTAATATTGTTTTTGTATGTGGTTTTGTTTCCTGACAAGGAAACCCCTTTGGTCTTATTGGTAAGTGGACTGTCTCCATCTATCCATCAGTTTGACATGAAAGAAATCAGCTTTTCTTCCTTTCACCCTTTAAAATTTTTTTTTTAGTAAAGTCTGCCGAATAAGGATCTTCAGTTTTAGTGTATTTTGAATGAAATTGTGTTATGGTTGATTTTTAGTTTTTTTTTTTTATCATGGCATGTGGATCAATGACCTGGAGGACATACGTTTTTACACATCAGGACATGATATAGATAAATCATCTGGTGCTTATCAGGTCTCAAATAGGATGAAAACAGCCTCAGATGAGCATCAAAACAAAGCGTTTTCGGCCCGTTTCCGCCCAGCTTCATGGATTTACATTGGCTGCAGAGTGCAGGTCCAGCCCAAACCATCAGCCCTCCCCCACCGTGCTGGCTGCCATTTTCTGAGTCTCTGCATTTCGGCTCGCTTTTGTGAAAACAGTTTTAAAAACCCAGTCTGACACGTGATGCTACAGACTGATATCATAACCTGATAAGGACCAGATGATGTTTCACTTTAATTTTATCAATGGACCATACTGGAGAATGCTCAACTTCCCTCTGTCTCTAAGCCCTAATTTAAGCTTCACAGAGAAAATCAAATTAAAGAGTGACTTCTCATCTTCCTGATGAAGGAAATGTATACATTTGTGTTCCAAACAGTCAAACAGTTACTCCACAACAGACACACACTGGTTCCCCAGGAGCCCGGTTTTGGTGAGGATGTTTATGGCGTCTCGTATCACCTTCCCTTTTTGGTCCTTTTGTGCAACCCTGTTGTTTCACACGTTGTCCTGTATGAACCTTCTAGTGGATTAGGTTGACTGTCTCGCCTCTGGTGGACAAAATGTTAGCATAAATCTTCACAAAGTCCGTTTTTTTAACTAGTTTTGCAGTCAAAGAGGCAAACGAAGCGCATTAAATCGGGGAGGCGGGGGGGCGTGTTGCTGGTTGTTGTGTGTTGTCTCCCTGTTTGTTTTGTAGATGCATGCTTGCTGCTTTTTGATCATCCTTTAATCGATGCTTTGGCTGGTTTAAACCCAAAGCATCGCTCCCTCCCTGGTGACCAGGTTCAGATCCTTTTCCACTCTGAGTTTTAAAACCAACAGACACACTCCGGCTTCTGGAAGACTCTGTAAACTCTCCTTCTCCTTCCCCCCCACAGGAGGATGACGACGGGCCTCTGGGCGCCCCGGAGTACGACACCGTCTCTGAGAACGGGCTCCTGAGTCGGAACGAACCCATACGCAGCAAAGTGTCCAAACTGACGGAGAAGCTGCGTAAACGCTACCCTACTGCCAGCACGGGTGAGCCGCCACACTCCCACCGACACCCTTAAAGGGGACATATTACGCAAAACCAAGTTTTTGATCATTTGATTATGCACATTTGGGACTGTGGAGGGCCTATCAGCAGGCAAAACATGCATCTAAAAAATGACTCAGTCATGTTTTTGTGGGCTGCCTCAGTCTGAATCCAGGAGATGAATCAGGAGGTTTCAGGAGTGGGTAGTTTCTGACGTCATTAGCTCTAGCTCATTATAATATTCCAGCCTTTCACCTGCAGCTTACTCCGCTTATCTGTGGCAGACGTCGTGGTAGTGTGAGCGTTAGCATGGTAGCATTAGCATGGTAGTGTTAGCATGGTAGCGTTAGCGAGGTAGCGTTAGCGAGGTAGCGTTAGCGAGGTAGCGTTAGCGAGGTAGCGTTAGCGTGCCGACGTGGGCACACCTCCCTGAAGAAGTGGGTGGATTGCCTGTGTCTCATTTGCATTTAAAGAGACAGGCACTCCAAAGCGAGCGCTCTGAACGGGGCTGTTTTGGGTTAGGGTTAGGGTTAGGGTTAGGGTTAGGCAGGGGGACTGAACTGCTATTGGACTTCATCCTTATGGGATTTTGACCAAAGCTTGTCACAGACATTACATTAGGACACCAGGGAACTAGTTTAACTTGTTGAAATAGGGTATAATATGTCTCCTTTAAGATCATGTCCAGAACTGAGCGTAAAAATAAAAGAACCTCCCTCTCTGCCCATAGGAAGCTGCTCCAGCTGCAGCGCCGTGTTCTCCGTGCTGAAGAAGAGGGTGAGTCTGGGAGCACGCCGTTTTGAAATGGGGTTTGTTTGGGGGGGGGTTCTCTCTCGGAGCCGAGCTCAGACGAGTTTCTCTTCGTGTTGCAGAGAAACTGCAGTAACTGCGGCAACAGCTTCTGCTCCCGATGCTGCTCCTTTAAAGTGCTGCGCTCCTGTATGGGGGCCACAGGTAGGAGAACTGGTCAGGCCTCTGGCTGCAGCCTGTAGGAGCCTGGGTTTATATCCAACTCCTCCCACATCCAAGTCGGCCATTTTGATTAGGTCATGTGACTAGCAGCTTTCTCTGGTGGAAATTAAACTTTACTGTCTATTTGAAATCGGAAGACAAACGATGTCCTAACCCTAAACCTAAACCTAACCCTAGCCCTAATCCTAAACCTGACCCGAGCCCTGACCCTAACCTTGACCCTAACCCTAAACCTAACCATTACCCTAAACTTGACCCTAACCCTAAACCTAAACCTAACCCTGACCCTCCACCCTTCATAATTGTGAGAAATAACTATTTTTTGGTTAAACTTGTTTGGACTTATTGTTCAAACCAATTTAACATTCACAATTTTAACATAATATTATGGATAGAGTTTAATTCAGTGTTTGCAAGATTAATTTCACTCTTTTTAAATGAATGTCTATATTGCCATGAGGCAATTAGGATTTTCTTGCCTGGGATCCTCCTATTGGTGACCTAATCAAAATGGCCGACTTGGATGTGGGCGGGGTTGGATATCCGTCCTTGGCTTCCTGCAGTCTCGATTTCTCTTGGAGTTACGGAAACGTTTTGTCTTTGTGTCCTCCTCAGCTCCAGAAGCACAGAGAGAGACTGTGTTTGTGTGCGGTGCCTGTAATGCCTCTCTGAGCAAGTTACAATGAGACGGCATTTTAACCCGCCCCCCCC